ATGACCGAAGATCGAAGGTCCACGAACTGCTTCCATGTCTTGACGGACGGTGCCGAGCCAAGTCTTAAGTTGCCCTCCTCTTCTACGTTTCCAGGTGGGCTGCGGTGCCGGATCGAGGGCAGCATAGGTAAGCTCGTGGGTCGGACGACGGAGAACGTGTCCAAACCACCTCAGTCGCCTTTCTTGAATGGCCTGAGATATCCTCGTGATACGATCGCAGCGGATACGGACTGTCTCATTTGAGATGAAGTCACTATACTTGCTGTGTGCTTTCACCTCCTCTTCCACTTTAACCCAGCACCATGACCAGGTCAATTAGACCAGAGATGAGGAGAGCGTAGGTGGCTGGCGTGGCCAGAGCCGTGCCACCACACCTGGCTCCAATCCCAGGGAGTGGATGTGTCACAGGGACCCCTTTTAAAAACTCTGCCTACCAGGCGGCAACTCCATTTAACCACGCACACAGTGGGCTGACCGCGAGGTCTGAGTAGTTCCGTCAGTTGGCAAACCTCCAAACCACAGCATGTCGTGTTAACTTCAAACGCGGATCAAATTGTAGGGGACAATGCACTGGAACGTCGACCCCCCATGCTATCAATTATTGTTCTGTGGCTGACGATAAGTACTTTAACGTTCCCGGCCGCCGGCATTTTACAAGAATGATGACTGGGGCGGTCGCCAGGGCCGGCCGGCTATTCTCACACCCACACCCGCACGCAACACGCCATATCTAGGTCCCATTATAGAGAGAGAGAGAGACAGGGGAGCACCAGTGTCTGGCTTGTTTGGCATACAGACACAGAGAGAAGCGTTTTTGCTCGGGGGCCCGTCAGTCAGTCAGTGTGTGGTGGTGTGCTCACGCATGTAGTTCCCATGTCTTCTCTCCATTACACGCAGTTTACCTTCATACAGGTGTGGTACCTCGGGGTGGGCATTAAGGATGCTCAACTGGCACACATTTCTCACCCTCGCACGCATGCATAAGTGTCGGTACATAAATTACGGCACCTCCAAGTCCCTCTCACCGTCCATGGCGGTGGCAAGGGCAGATGGATGCGAAACTGACGGTTCACGTTTCAGGGTGGGGAGGATGGGGGGGGGCGTGTTGAACTGTCGGCAATTTATCTATGGTGCCGGTTGGCGGCAGTGCCTATTCCGGCTGTCAAGCAAGAAGCGTACCCGAGCTCCTTATTCCGGATCCAATGCGGAACTTTTGTAGCTTAGGTTACGACTACAACTCAAAAGATCTGAGAACTTTGATAGTTTCGCAGAAAGGACGCTCGGCGTGAAGCAGGATGATACAGGGAGGCATAGGCGTCCAGACCCTCTTAGACCTCGGGACTGCCGCCGTCCCAATCTGGAGGTTAGTCTCCTCTTTACAAGAGAAAAGCTGAACCACCTATAGAGTCTCACCGATAGAAACTTACT